TCCATATTAGTCCATATCCTCACTATAATTATCACTATCACTGACTTGGGCCAGCTGTGGTGGGTGGCGGGTGAAGAACTTCGGTAATGTTTTGATGACTGGGCGACCTTATGCTCCCTGCTCACTTTCTGCATAAGGGGTACAGCAGAATGTGGAGCATTCGGTTTACGGCAAGGTAGCGTAAGCGTGGAAGCGAATGTGGGACAGCGTAAAGCGAGGTTGACTGTATATACAAAGTACTATACTGCACTCTATTGTATATGAAGGGTACAGATTAACAAGTACAGATTATTACAGTAATGTATCTGTACTAATTAATGAAAAACAAATAAACAATATTGTATCATGAATGAGTCAGTACAGTAGACAAACAGTGATACGACCCTTTGGGGAGGGGTGGTATGATCGCCGTTACCCCCAATGGATCCTTCAACCTCTGGCTGGGAGGAGGGAGGTGGGGTGTTGACAGCCAGGAGGGAAGATTAACAGCTTACTCAAGGATTATGAAAGGCAGAGGGTTTAAATTTTGGCTTATCAAATGTCACTGACTTGACTTAAGAGAATATAACTTACATTGCTGGAATTCTTGTAAGACAGCAATTTGGTATAAACATACCTTATTTTGCACCAGACATAATAATTTTAGTAATTAACTAAGTACAATTAGGATACAGGTTATGATTTATGTTGTTGCTCCTAATTTAGTTTAAGCTTCATGACATCACTAGTGTATAATGCATCTTGCCCTGGTTTATTCACTGATCAGTTGTCTAAGTGCAAATGTAGCCCAGTCATGTATCAATTAATTTTAAAAATATAAATTATAACATTAAATATTATAAGACAAAGGTTTAGTAGAGCTGTTAATGTGTGTATGTAATCTTGGCATGTCACCTCACCACCTGACTCTAACACTACTACAGAACTACTACTTTTTTAATATTTATCCTCCCTTATAGCCATACATGTACGCCACCATTTTATTACCTTAAAATTAAATATCCTAATACATAAGTAGCTATCCTAGCTGTGTTGAGTTAGTTGAGCCACAGATCTGTCATTTGTTGCCTCATAGTCAATATCTGCAACTGTTGTCGGCTTTGGGGCCAATGCTCTCGTTCCCCGAGGCAAGCAAAGCCGACTAAGAGAAGGACAGTTGACATCTCATCCAGGCTGTAACATAACTTCTGGGCTGCTGCTTCTGTTCCGGATAGAACACGTGAGGTCATGAAACATCTTACTTGGTCCCATCCACAGAGGTTGTGAACACTAGAAGTGAAGCTGCCTTGATCAACTTTCTGATTCTCTCCCCATATGCCCTTATCTTGTCATTCGTTCCTCCTGTGTGCAGCAACGAGAGCTAAGTTCTGATTGACATCACGGCCATGGGATAAAATCCTGATGTCGAAGAAGGCTCACTGTCCCCGCGTCCAGAATCCTCGAGCATTGACGTCAACACGGGCTTCGTTGGATGTGTTTGAAGTCCTATGTTAAATTCTCACCGTCCAATGGAAGGAGGTCGGTTCTACTCTGACATCCGGCAGATCTCCTTCAACATATTTGCTGTAAGGTCCCTTACTTCAACGTGCCTCATGCATTTGAAGCCCCCTTTCTTGCACCATGGCGTGATCGACGTCATAGGAAGAGCCACACCACGCTTGGGAGGCAAACCTTTACTGGCCTACCATTGCAGACATTGGCATCTGTAAATTCTTGTTTATTGAGATTGAAACCATTTGCCCTTATCGGTAACGTAGTTAACCAGTTCGAGTTGCCCACCTCCTGTGCTATAGCTACTTTTTTTCAAATTCTCTGGTACTTGCAGCAACAGTTGCTGCAACTTATCACGCCATATGCTGTCATTCTGTTATAATGGATCTTAATCTTGTTTACTTCACTGGTATCCGCCTCCCTTATTGTGTTCTGAGCTATTATGTGGTCTTACCTACTACTACTACTTTGCTGTCACTCAGAATCGTGTATAGCGATCATCCAGCTATGATACAATGATAAGAGTTACAAGGGATGTCACCTTCATTGGTGAGTTTGAGGTGATTAAAGGCCATCAGGACCAGCAGAGTTGTTCTGAATGTTGTTGCACATGTGGGGCTACATCGAGTGTGGAGGGGCGGTGCAGTCTCTTCGGCGATGGCACTTGTCTGCCTCGATTTGCAGTCTGGCTAACTCGAAGTATTGACAGTGTCTCTTGTGGTGCTCCTCCAAGCTTTTACGATGTGGAGTAATCGACTTCGGTGAGGGGGTCGATTGGCACTTTTTCAGGTTTGTTTAAGACTATCCTCATACCTTTCAGTTGCCCGCCGCGCCGTTTACTATTCGTTAGGTGACTGTTAAGTAGCTGCTTTAATTTACTATCGTCCATGGGTAACAGGCCAGCCCCAGCGTAGTTCTTCATGGATAATGGTAGCCCGATGCTCTTTCAGTTGGTGCCAGCAATACTGACATTTGTTCTCTTGTCTTCTCAGCTAACATAGAGGACGGAACGACTATGTTGGTGAGGTTGCTTGCCTTGAGGTGCCTCCTGTATGTGACCCATGGCTCGCTGCCATATAGCAGGGTGGGGAGGACTACTGCTCGATATACGGTAACTTTGCAGATAATTTCAGCTCACAGCTGAAGAAACAGTTTCAGAGTCTGCCAAAGGCTGAGATGCACATCTGATCCAATGCTGAATCTGTTCGTTGATATCGCGATGGTGACAGGTGGGATCCGAGATACCAAAGTGGGTAACATTAGAGAGGGTAGTACCATTAAGCTGGATGGATGGTGGAGGTGTGTCTGAACCAGGGCAGGTTGAAAGAGAATCTGAGTCTTATGTACATTTACCTTAAGGCGGCGCGATAAGCATCTGCATAGGTGTTCAGGATCTTCTGTAGGTTGTATCCAGTGTGAGCAACAAGGGTCAGTCGTCTGCATACTGAAGTTTAGTAATGGATGCTGCTGACACCTTTGTTTTTGCCTGTAGTCGTCTTATGTTGAAAAGATCCTTCATCCTGTACTCAATGTCCACCCCCCAAGGCTAAATTGGCACTGCACAGTAAGGAAGGCAGCCAAGAAAATGGGAGAGTGAGTTGGTGCCATACACACCCTTGTTTAACCCCCGTTTAGATGGGGAAGAACTCAGCCGTGCCAGTGCAGGACACAGCCGCTCATGCCATTGTGAGTTGCCTCACAATGGCAATGAATTTTTGGGCACCAGAGGGCTTCCTGTTGATCGAGTCAAGGCCTTGGTTAGGTCGATGAAAGCCATGTATATGTCACTGTTGTTCTGTACTTTTCCTGTATCTGGCAGACAGCAAAGATCGTCGTACACATGATGGTCTAAAGCCACATTGAAATTCTGGGAGGAATTAAGACAACAAGCAACCAGTGAGGGTCTTGTTGTGTGACTGCATGGAGGCGATCAAAAGATCAGCTGTTGAGGAGCTTATAGCTTGACAACACTGGTGCATGTTACCACTCCTTCCACCCATCTCTAATCACCCACACCTTTTGCTTTCTTACTCCATATTTTAAAATGTTATATAATGTAATGTTGAAGGGATACAACTTTTCTCATTTATACTTTACGTAGACTCTCGCCAATAACGACTTCCACAATAATGTTTTTGACAATAACGTTAGTTACAATAGATACCCATTATAATAAAGTCTGGATTCTCTTGAATAACGGAGAGATTTGAAGGGAGTGCATCAAAGAAGGTATTGCGCCATGTTGATGACGAGGTCCAGTCCGCCCACTCTCACACACACGCCTGTGGAATACAGCGCCAGCTCACGGAGAGATTACCTATAACCAGTGGTTGCTAGGATCGGTGAACAATAATATTTCCTGATTGGCCGGGTAGGGGAGCTGGTGGAGGGAGGATTTGCTGCCTGAACTCCAGAGAACTTTTAAAGTGAATGAGAAAGACCAAAGCTATGAGACAAAGCCACAAGAAGAGTGCCTACCCGGTCAAGGATAAAGAACAGATTGTTGAGCCCATTGAAAGTGGTACGGAACATTGATATTGTGAGGAAACTGAACTGTCCTGAGTCTACAGTGTGAAATATTAAGAGGAACTTAGAAATATTTTAGTGATGGAAAATGCGAGGCGAGCTATGAATGATCAAATGATAGAAACAGGTTGTTAGTGATAACAGAGCATTTTTTGAGAATGGTTAGCCTGTAGAATGAAAGACAATGCAAGTGTATGCCCTCAGACTACAGAACAATCATCACACCAAGCACCTCAAAAACTCCCCAAGCTAAGTGTTATATAACTCAAACTCTTTATTTTGATGATTGAATAACAATTTATATTTCTGCTAACAAAAAGTGTTAGGAGGGCTTCTAAGGGAAATTTGGTGAAATTCTTGGGGTGGCAGCACCAATAAACCTTTTTACGTGTATTTTAATGTCACAATAACGCTGCTAATAATGGTGTTTTTCAGGCACCTATTGACGCTATTGTGAGAGCCTATTATACTTATAATAGTTCCCTAAAAATATTTTGCTTTGCTTGTCTATAAGACATTTTCAGAAATTCTCTCAATTTTCAACTTGAAAAATTTTCCTAAAGCTGTAAATTTTTTGAAAATTCCAGCTTTGGGAATGATTTTCTGAGGAAATTTCAATTCCAGCTATCGGAGAGTTCGGTTTGAGGGATTCCGCTAACGAGATATTACTGTATACCTGAAAATTCGGGAGGTGGTATTGGTTTGAGTCATCTCATATCTGAAATCTCTATCCCATAAAGAGTTGCACCAATTGTTTCGGCTTATAGGGTATCACTGTAATATCAGGTGCACTTACCTATAGATAAGCCTTTGGTGAATGGAATATTCCAAGAACATGGGGTAGCCCTATAGCTGATGAATCTAAAGAAACAAAGAAGTCACCACCTGCCCAACCACCCATTATCACAGAAAGGACAAGGTTGCAAGAGGAAAATGTAATAATACATATTTACTTTTTATATTGATTTCTATGTTCAACAGACCTGGATAGCCTTAAGAATATTCTCTGTTGCAGCTTCATCAGTACAAGCTTCTAGTAGGATAGTAAGAGCAGCTAGTAGGCCACCAGGCAGAGTTCACCAACTGTTCGTGGACCTTATGCGTTTTCATCACTAGGGTTGTACAGCTCACTCACTCTGAACAACAAAAACAAGAAACATACAAGACAAGAACACACAAAATGGGAACAACTTTAATCAGTGATGAAAGTAAAACATGACTTACTGTAAGTTCCATCATAGTCATCCTCAAAATCAGACAAACACACTCATCTGATTAGATTTAGTAAGACTCCAAACAACCTGGTACAGTATTTGGGAATGGGACAGAGTAGATCAGAAGATGGGTGAGGGCACAACTGAGTCAGGTGATAATAGACATACTTAGGTTGGATTTTTCCATTTTGTTACAATAAGTAACAATATGCCATCAGACTCTACCTGCTGCACTATCACTGGAGGCTTGTGGACCCATCATGACCAAGTGTATGGATCGATGATGTCAAGAAGGCAGTAATAGGCAACACTCACGCCATAACCATCAGGTATTGTTGGAGGTTCAAGCTTGTCCAGCATCTCTAAACTGTAAACAAACATGATAAAATAATGGACACAGTATGTGGAAATCTTTTTAGATAATATGACATTTTTACCTATCCATTAAACAAATTAACTTCATTCCTAGCCTTAAATGGTTAAAAAAAATTTATTGTACGAAGACTCTGCCTACTTAAAACCTTTTATATAGGCTGTCACACCAACCCAAAAAGTTCTGTACTTTCTAGCCAATATATTCTTATCCAATGGCTTAATCCATTGGCATGTAATTATCTTGAATATTACAGTGATGCCTCGGTTAATGAGATTTCGTGTTAACGAGTTACCTTCCATAAGATTCTTAACTTTAAGTTAACATGCCTCATTAACCAGTTTTTTTAAGCCGACCTCAACATGTTTTTTCATTTGGCAGTCCACCAGCTGTAGTATTAGTCAGCCAATACAGTAATCGGTTTTAGGGCTTAAATTTTACTATTTTAGTAAGTATCAGAATTTTATACTATTCAATAATTTTAAAAGTATATAAATATATTTTTAGTCATTTTAACAATTATTGAACATAATTGAAGGCAAAGAAACTAGTTTTTATGCCATCCAGCCTGTTAACAAAACAGGCATTAGTCTCTCTCTGTTTTCACTGGAGGTAACATCTTGCTGAGACTCTCTTCAACTAATGTTTTTTTCTGTGTCGCAAATTATTGGTCATTTTGAATTTATACATAACCCATATATAATGCAGTGTTGATTTAAAGAAAATAATCTTGAATTACACCAAGAGAACTAAATTTTATGAATGAAAGCTATGGGGGTGACTTCTCTCCACCCCAATGCCTTTTCTCCCTTCTCTCCATCCCTATTCTAATCATCATCATCATCCAGGAGCCTCACATACACACCTCAAAGTAGTGTGCCTACATTTTGTTGAATTTAGGCCTTTTCTGAACCACTACTCAAAAACCCATTGAAACAATGGTTTGTTGATGTTAACGAGCAACATGTTGAACGGATTGGCTCATAACCGAGGACCACTGTATACAGATAATTAAAATTTTAAGTAAAATTACAAAAACTTTAATTTTGTAAGCATACATAGTAGCCATAAAATTATTTAATGATATAACAATTAAAATCATGAGAATTTTGTTAATGAAATAATTCTTCATCAAATGCACGCCACAACAGAGCAAGAAATGTTAGGTAAGATAACGTAAAACCATCACATCACTGATGTAATGTTTAGCCTATTGTAAGTAATAAAATTAATTAATGACCAAAGCTTAAGATATTGTTTCTGATAACTGAAATGTGATTCATTACCTACACCCTGTAAGTACTGTACCCTATGGTGAGTAATGAATGTGTGGAAGCCATCAGACAGTAGCAGTGACTGGATTTTGTTTCAGCCTGTTGATGAATCTGATCCAGAGTCAGACTAGGATACTTCAATGACCTCAGTGAGTGAGTTTAAGTCAGTTCTCATTAAGGAGGAAAAGGAAATTAGGTGTAAAATATCCAACCTGATTGTAAATCAGTGCATGTGAAGTGAAGAAGAGAAAAGTGTACTAATGTGCAATTTTCTTTGTTTTTGCTCAGTTTTTTATTTTTAATAGTTCTGAATGTTGTACATTTCTGGCTGTGTCTAGTAACTATATTTTTTAGCTTTGTTTGGTTAAATTTTCATATGCCCTAATCAGTGGGAAGCTCGGTCAGTCAGGCTGTGATATATTAAGGAGAGAACAGAGTAAGAGATAGGTGAAAAGAGAACCAAAGGAGATTTGTAGTGATAGAATGGGAGGCTCTTCACTCCAGGTTATCCTCAGAGGAGCTTCAGGGAGTGAGGCATCATAGACAACACGACAGTATTTGCACTCCAGGACAAACTGTCAACATGAGAAATGGACCGATGGACTTACTATGAAGACTTTGCTTGTCCTGTGGGAATGTTTACACAGGGAAGGTAAACACCCCTATAGAAGAATGCTGGCTGTGGGAGACACTCGACCCACGGCATGCCAGCCAACAATGCGGGAGGCTGACCCTGTGCCCCACTCTGACTGCCACCTCCCAACTGAGCAGCAACACTTGATTGTGGTGATATGAAAAGTGACTGCACAAATGCACCCAAGCTGTTTACTATATCCTGCAAGAAATTCATCAAGGATGAACTTTGTGTGTAATGCATAACAATTATATGAAAACATGAGTGAATTGAGGCATTACAACAATAATATTCATAGAGGTATTTCAATGCAGAAAAAAATAACCAAATTAAAGTACAATATGGCACAGTAGAATATACATTACCTGGAATATCTTGTAGCATGAGGTTTCATGTCATAGTTGGTACAGAAAGACTGCAATAGCTAGGTTGTAGCCAATTTATGAAGCACCTCCAAAGCAAGGCCACGCTTGCCATTGGCCGGTCACCATCCAAAAATTTCACCATCAATGACAAAAATATTTCACATTGAGTAACCTGGAAAAAAAATTGCAGTATGAATTGAAAATCATGTGGAACTGATCCTGAAATCTTGGCTTACAACTGAGCAAGAGAGACCCAGGAAAATGGTAAGAAATAAAGTGCAGTTGTAGGAGCTTAGAGTTCCTTAAGGAAACAAAGCTATTCATTGGATTGTTACACCAGCCATCATCAGGTCAGATCATCCCTGGGCACTAAGCCCTATTGGCTGGCATTTTCACTATTGTCATTTTAGACAAACTTAGGTTATAAAATAACACATTAAGGGGTAAAATTATATCCTTTTCTATCACAATTAGGGAAAAGTCTTCTCAACACCAAATTTAAGTTAACATGTTACACAGTGTTCTATAGTTATAACTAGCTCCAGTGGGGTAACAACGAAATAGGAATTGTCTCATTAATTACTGGCTACAAAATGGATGACTTATCATTATAAATCAAATAAATGAACACAACCAATCTTTTCTCAAACAGCAAATATTTAGTGTGAATAGATTACATTTAACCCTTGCCATTCGTGGATTTGTGATTCACGATTTCGACATTCACGTAAGCAGATGGTGGCTAGCTTAGGAGCCTCTCCCACAGCGCATGAGTCACCCCATGCTACCGCAGCATCTCCTTTCCTCCTCTCCCTTTGTTTATGCTCAACCATTGCCAGTAACTCAGCATCTCTTGTGTTGTACTCAAAACTTTATCTGTGTGAAATGCCCTCAAAGACAGCCTATGGTAGTGCTAGTGATGCAACAAGAAGGGTTGGGCTTGAACAATTTTGGTCAACTATTTTGACATGTGAAGATGGTAACTGATTTCATTGTTGACCATGACCCTTCCATGGAATGGAGCCTTAAGATTATCCAAGAAATCAACCAGGAATTGATTCCCTACCACGAAGTGTTTAATGACCTCAAAGCCAAGAAGAAACAACTACCTATCACGATGTTTTTCATCTCCTCACCTACTTGGTCAGCTGATGCCGCCGCTCCACCACCCAACTACCCGCCAAGAACCACCTGCCCCCCTCCAAGCACCACCTGCCTCCCCACCAAGCACCACCCCGCCATCCACCTCTCCGCCACACACCACCTCCCCCACCATCATCCACCTCCCCCACCAAGCACCACCCCACCATTCACCTCCCCGCCAGCACCACCCCACCATTCACCTCCCCGCCAAGCACCACCCCACCATCCACCTCCCCGCCAAGCACCAGCCCACCATCCACCTCCCCGCCACCTCTCCATCAACCACCACTGCATCAGCCTCCTCCAATAGTGATCCTGATGATCTCCCTATGCTTCAGTCACCAGATTTCATCCTACTGTAAAGAACACTTCATCAAACTCCAAACTTCCACATACAAAGGTAAGTAGAATCCGATAATCGGACTAATTGGGGCAGACCCCAGTCCGAAAATGCAAAAGTCCGGAAAAGCGAATATATAGGGGGATAACACTGCTTATCTGTACTGTTTAAAGAAAGTCGTTGTTGTTATGTTATTAATGCAGTTCAACAACTAAGGTCTTGAAGTGTATAACAAGGTTATTAAAAGAATATTACATCAACAGTAAAAAATATGAAGCCAAACTCTCTGGGTTGAAAATCACACTTAAGTATGGTTAACAACAACTGTTTTCACCGATGATTGTTATTTACTGTAAAGTGTTATACGAAAGCCACCACAGAATTTGTCTTATGAATAAAAGAGAAAACTGTACACTGTACTGTACTATAAATAAAAAAATAAGAACAAATAAGTGTAGAAGTATATTGTATGTGGAAGACAAATGTATATCTGGGAGCAGCTGGCAGGGGGGTAGCACAGGTTTACTCCCCTGCCCTTCCTTCCGACATCACAACACCCACGTAGACCCGTCGAAACAACTGATAATCCTATCTCCAAACACACTGCCAAAGTGAGAGCTCTTAACCACATACATAACCTGCAGACTGAAAATAACATCACACAGACCATCTACACTGATGGCTCTTTAACAATGACATTGTGACTCAACCTAACGGTAATGTATTAGAGAGAAAGGAGCTAGAATTAGTAAATGGGCATCCACTCTGCAAACTGAACTATTTGCCATACTCACAGCCCTGAACTTGCTGAAGACACTGCCACTGACAGTCTCATCATCACTAACTCCCTTTTCCTCACTACTTGCTCTGATATCCTTAACTCAGATTGTCACCCCGCCCAGCCAGACACAAGTATATGTGTCTTATTGACGGGGTCAGGATCAAGCTGCTGTGATCCCTCTCACATAGGCATTAGTGAACATGATAGAGTTGATGCCTTACCTAACTCTCGCATCCAACAATAACAATGTTGAGTATAATCTAGACTGTCAAACAGAACCTGAAACTGCAATCAGAAAAGAGCTTTCTGATGAATTTGATGCCAGTAGACAAATGCTAACAGGCATTAGCCAATCCATTGTTTACCATGACGAGATGTATCAAATAAAACATGGATATGGAGCAAATAACGTGATCACTAGATTACATTATTATCCAAAGGATTCAGCTCTGAAAAAGAACCACTGAACAATCCATGAGTCATTTGTTTATAAAGAGCAAACAGCTGATTGGCTACCACAACATCTGTGTTCAACACTTACCGGTCGTAAATTAGTACAATACAAACTCGTATTTATCACCACTTAATAAATACTGTTGTAGAATATTTATCATCACTTAATAAGTAATAGTAGTGTACAGTGTTATGTATCTGCATATACAGTACTGTTTATTCATTAATCATTTGTCTAAGTGTACCAGTAGCCAAACTGAGTCATCATGTATCACTCAAAGGTAGTAAATAACGTTGTTAGAAGGTATCTTCATATCAAAACTATACAGTGTGTTATAGTGACCCCTGTTGTAAGCTGGTTCGCTGAAAGCTCTCACACGCATACATCCTGAGTAAATAACCTTCTGATACAGCTTATCCTTTTATTTTCAAGTCATATTACAAATTACATACAGTATTGTATTTTTCTGTATTACTGAAGATGTTATATTAATCATGATGAACCATAAACCACAAGAGGCCAATCATATGAGAATATAATACTGAACCAATAAACAAAACCTGAGGAATGGCAACACATGATCAGCCTCATCCTGCTTACACACTCAAGTGTCTTAGTTCTCAGTAGGCCGATAGCAAATCTGATTAGACCACTGTAACATATCTAATAGGTGTGGTTCTTTTTCACAATATTTTCCTTTAGTCTTCCCCATTTCTTTTTTTTCTTTTTGGTATTTGGTGACCAAGAGCAACTCAGTGTCCAAAAAGCAAATTCCGATATATTGAAGTCCAATTTAACGAGGTTTTACTTGTCTTGGTGACTAAGTTTCATACACAGTATAGGTATACAGGAGTGCAGTAAGGTAATGTAAGTTGCTAGTCAAGGTTTTGCAAATTCACCTATTCCTTGGAACATAACCCCCACGAATAGCAAGGGTTAACTGTACTTACAGTTTTCAGTAATACAGTTCAGCTTATATAAATTTATCTCGCTTAAGAGCACTTCCAAAACTGGTTATGCATCACTCAACTACAGATGAAGAATAAATCTAGATCATCAATGAATTCACAACAAAATGACAATGAGAGGCAAAATACTACAAATACAACACAAAAGACTCACCAACAAAGGATAATATTTCTGTATCAATACTGACACCACTCTGAGTAGTCTCATGGCAATAGGGAAATATGGCTTGTCTAGTGGTGTTGCCTGCTGAACACTGGCAGGGCACTGAAGCTCGGTACTTGATGTTTGGAGAGAACAACTTGATGACCAGCCATCACTCTATCCTTCAGCAGAAAGTAAACTCGATGCTGAAAAAAGAATATTAATGATTGAGCAGAGTAATTAAGTTGATGTACAGTCAGTAGAAGAAAATCTGAATAAAAATCAAGACACTTACAGTATTTTACAAAACAGTCATAAGGAGATATATAGCTATTCCATGTACTGTACAGTGTTCACATATTCTCGTACTGAATCTGTTGCTTCAGAGTTCATTGTCCTATTCAGAACTTATGGTTTATCTCCTCACAATCTTCCATACTTGTTTCTCTGACACACAAGCTCCTACCTCATCTTTAGCCTCCCTTTATGTTTACTCACCTGTAACAACACGAGATATTCCCTTCAACCTCATCAAAGCTTACAATTAATAAATGAAGAGAATATATGCAGGAAAATGGAAAAAAAATTAACTTAACAGGTTTCAATGGTAGGTAGTAAGCAGCTATCAAACAGAGGTACTACCTCCCGGGAAGATACTGGAAGCATAATGTATTGTCTAATGGTAGACCCTGCTGCCATATATAATAAAATTGTGACTAAGTCCCAGGTTGCTCATCTGACTTTCTGCCTCATTTTCACAATATTGCAGGGTCTCAATTTTTCATTACTTTGACAACACAATATACATACATTACTTCTCACCTGATATTTTTATTTATTTTTTTATTTATGGCTCATTGTTATTATTATTTATAATTTTATTAGTACAGTATTAATATTTTCTTTTATATTATAATTGTCATTTATCTTTATTAATTTTATTTTATTACAGGTTGTACCTCTCTAGTCCGGCATTCTGTGGTCCGAAACTCCCGCGGTCCGAACCAT